TAATTGTCTCTTCCGCTCAGATTCTTCCTTGTTCTGTTTTTCAATACTTTGGAATAAGCTTCATCAATCGATCATCACTTGACCATCATTCAATGAATTTTTCAGCACTAACAAATTTCAAAACAAGTTTCATCCACCATCACTGGGTCATTACTCATAGGTGTCTCAGCATTAACCTTTCCAAAATAGATTTTGTCTTCATCATTCAATCACAACTTGCAAGTCATATCGACCAATTCATTCTCGTACTCATCACTTGATTGTATCACTGCCCCATTTCTTCATTTGATCACATCATATATCCTTCTAAATCATCTCCTCTAGGTTTCTACTATTTCTTCATTCTGTCTCCACCATCATCTTAGATTTCTTTTCAAATGAATGCAAGACTCTTTTAAGCACATATTCATTCATTCATTATCATTTCAAATCTTGACAAGTACAATGCAATCGAGCATTTTTTCAATTCATTCTAAGGGTGTAACAATAAGGGAACAGAAAGTGAATTATGGTAAAGATAATCAATGAAGATCTATTTTGGTAGAAAATAAATGGGAAAAGAAATAAATTGGATGTCATTGAGGTGAATGGTATGTCCAAATGATGAATATTCAGACAATTTTCAACATTAATCTAGGATTCTTTTTCAAAAACTCATTCCATTTACTGTTGAAGTCATCTTGAGCTTGGCGAACTCTGCCCCAGTCTTTGAGGGATCTTCAGATGTCTTTGATCTTTCATTCATGTGAGCCATTTGACCTGGATCTTTTTTTTTTTGGTACCAAAATCACCCTTTCAGGTTTTCAATTTGAATCTCTTTTTTTATTTTTTCATTTTCTCATTTTTTTCTCTTTCTTTCTTTTTCTTTTTCTATTTTTTTTCATCATCTTTTTTTTCTCATTCTTCACCTATTATTGACATCCTTCATACATCAAACTTTTAAGGTAATGTAGCATGATTCCATTGCTTCATCATGAGCATGCCTTCGCTCAACATATGATCATTCAAGTTGAGTATTCACACTTGATCCAAATGGACTTTTCAAGGTTGTAATGTAGGTCAAGGTGAAGGGTCATAAAAAAATGGATATAATAGGCTCAAAACATGTATTAAAAAGGTTCAAGACCGAAGGATCATTTGATGCAGCTTGGCATTTTGCCCCACATCGTTTCACTATTTTTTCTTTCCTCACACAAAAGATTCTCATTATTTTACCCCAAGTCATGTGTGGCTTTTATTTTTCTTTTGCTTTTCTTTCTCTTTCCATTTTTGAGACCTTTTGTTGTGTTTTTTTCTTTTTTTTTTCAAAATTTACCCTCCAGTGTAGAGGGTGATCCTTGGTTGGGGTTCTTAAAAAAAAAATGATAAGCTCAAAGGGGTAACAATAAATGGTTTTTCAAATGGTAAAAGAAAGATGGCCATTTTTCATCTCAATTGTGAATACCTTTCTTGAACATCATCTATTGAACAAAGCTCATGAACTTGTATAAAAGATTGCACACCTTCAAGACATATCTATTTCACCTTCAGTAACAGCTTACTTTTTGCTCAAATCATCTCCTCACATTGCCGTGGATGAGTTCTCAAAATTAAATCCCAGAATCATTGTTATCATTGTCTAAATATTCATCATCTGAACTCTAAGAAAGGGAGTATAAAGTTATGAAAGGTAACAAAGCATGGAGTAATGGTCAAGTGAAAGAGAAAAATGTAATGAAATGCATTGACTTGCCTTTATTAAAATGATAACAAGTGAAGTCATATTACAAAAAAAAATCTAACATTTTTGAAAAGAAATCCCAAAATGACAGAAGAAACCTTCAACCAGCCTTATCTCCATTGACATCTTGCCCCTCAATTCATTGTGAATCTCCGGATCTTTTCTGTTTTTGACTTTCGCTCAGTACACTAACATTAGGTGCTGTTGCTTTTCCTTGATCAAAACTTACCATTCCATCATTGATCAATCGTTGCACCTTATACTTTAAAGCAGTGCAATTTTCAGTAGAATGGCCAGTAATTCCATAATGATAGTCACAACGGGCTGTAGGATCATACCACTTTGGATAGGGTGGTTTAAGTGGTTCCATATGGCTGGGGGCAATCAAGTGGCTATTATAGAGTTCTCGATATAACTCTGTATAAGTCATAGGGATTGGATCAAATACAGGTTTTTTTCGAGTAGTCCGTTGTTCTCGTGAGCCACTTGTTGGGTTAGTAAGACGAATTTGGGTTCTTGCAGGAGCTTGAATGTTGAGGCGGTAAGTGGATGAATAAGATGGTTGTGAAGCTAGCTGGTATGGGTAGGATGATGTATTATTCACAGCAGGATAGTATGGAGAGTAACCTTGGGATGGATAGGGTTGATAATCCCTGAATTATTGTCTATCAAAGCTCACAGCTTGAGCTTCAGCTTCTTTCTTTTCTGATGTCTTCTTGGTTTCTCCTCCTCTCAACTTGCCATTTTTTATGGCACTTTCAATAATTTCTCCAGAGATTACCATGTCAGCAAAATTTTTTGTTGCATTCCCTATCATCTTTTCATAATAGGGAGGCTTTAAAGTGCTAACAAACAGCACTGTGGTCTCTTTCTCTGTCAGTGGAGGTTGTACCTGTGAAGCTATATCCCTCCATCTCTGGGCGTATTCTTTAAAAGACTCATTTGACTTTTTCTCCAGATTTTACAAAGATAAACGATCAGGGGCCAAATCGATGATGTGTCGATATTGGCTGATGAAGTCATGAGCCATATCGCTCCATGAGCGAATGTGGGTTCTATCCAACTGAACATACCACCTGGCAGCAGAACCAGTAAGACTATCTTGGAAGACATGCATCAAGAGTTTTTCATCATGTGCATGAGCTGCTATCTTCCTGCAATACATGGTGATGTGGGTTTTAGGGCACTTTGTACCGTCATATTTTTCAAATTTTGGTACTTTGAATTTATAGGGGATAACCACATCAGGAACTAGGCAGAGCCCAGCAGCATCAACTGACCCATAAAAACTAAATCCTTCTACAGCCCGTAGCCTCTGCTCTAGCATACTAATCTTGGAACTTTCCTCAGCCTCTACTCTCATCTTTTCCTTCTCTTTCTCTTTTATATCATCTAGATCAGAAATTGGTTCTGCTGCCTTTTCAGTGAAGACAGGATTTATATAGCTATTATACTGCCCTGGGTTGAAAGCTGATGGCATTCTAGGACATGTTGGATATGCAAAATGTTGTGGTGGGACCTCTTGGACAGACTGGGCTTGAGGTGGGCCAAAACCTGGAGGGTACAATGGGTCAGCCACTTCTTGCTGGCTTGTACTTCCTTCAACTCCTTTTCCTTTATTCATATTATTGAGAGCCTCCAGAATTTTGCTAAGTTCATTTTCAATCTTCTCCTGAGCTTTTTCTAGCTTTTCAAATCTATGAGAACTTTCCTCCTCCATTTGCCTTGCTCTGGATCTTGTGTTGTATGGATGAGCAAGGTTTTCGCTAGATGGAGCTATCCTCGGACCTTGAGTACCATACTTATGATTAGAAATGTTATGCTGTACCTTATGTATGATGCTTTGATACACAAATGAAATGTACATTTTTTGAATGAAATCTAGTATGAAATGAATGCAAATAATTGTGTTGAAACATGTCATGAAAAGAATACAAATGCATACAATCAGACAAACAACATAGTTAGTTCCGTGGATGAAACGAAAGTGATGCTGATGCATAATGTTACATATAATAAAAATAATACACAAAGTTAAGCAATCAAAATGATTAGATAAATACCCTTTTTGTGTCTTGAATTTAGGGTATATCTATTATTGGGTAGAAAATGGCTCTATCTTAGGTGTAGGCACTTCTAAGGTTCACTATATGTGGTTTAAGGTCAAAGTCTAAAGGTCCTCAAATTGCTCCTTACATCCCTGTCCATCACGGACTAGTAAGGCACCCTAATCCTCACCCATTACAGGCTACAAGCGGAAAATGTTCAATTTGAGTGGGAGTATTTCGCTAGCCACTGCGGAGGCATTAGACCTCACGAAAGCAATAGGTACTTTACTCCCTCCTAGAGAGACGGAGCTCGGGTATAGAGCTCATGTTATGCACATGCACATGAATGACATAATTAACAAGATAAATAAACAGGAATGAATAATAACACATATATACAAAAATGGTTCAATTTTATTAGGCTTTTGGATAACACAAATTATTCGCTGGCCTGACTCTCAAAGTCTCCAGCGGAGTCGCCAAGCTGTCATAACGTCTAGATCCGGGGATCTATCGCTAGACATTGACTTTTAGGGAGTCGCCACCAATCTTTTTTTATCTAGGTGCGATTGGCCACCTAAGGAATCTGTCCTTTCAGGGAACACCTAAGTTTAAGGGTCCCTAAAAGAATAGGTTCAGGTCTGCTAACCAGAACAAGGTTCGGGAGTTCGGTTACGTGTGAGGAAGGTTATAGCACCCTCACAACGCCCATCAAAAGATGGCATCAGCTTAAATTTGTGTTATCCAAAAGCCTTAAAATTTTACCAAGTAATTAATTATTGAAAATTATTCTCAATTGACTCTAATACTTTTAGCAGAAAATTGAGAAAATTCCCTCACCTCAAGAGTATGCAAGAAAAACTACTGTTTCACTTGCAGAGGCTCCGTCGTCGGATTATTTAAAGAAACAAAATCAAAATTAAGATAGAAAGGAAGGAAAGAATAAAATTTTTTTGTAGGGAAAATTGATACTTTCAACTTTTCCCCAAAAATATTTTTTTGGAAATTTATTTTTAAGGAAAATTGATACTTTCAACTTTTCCCCAAAAATATTTTTTTTGGAAATTTATTTTTAAAGAAAATTGATACTTTCAACTTTTCCTCAAAAATATTTCTTTTTGAAAATTTTTATTTTTCTGTAAAAAATAAAAATAAAATAAAATAAATAAAAATAATACTCCTGAAAATAACTAGCACAACAAAAATAAATAAATAAAATACCAAAAAAAAGATTATCTTGACTTGCCATACATTTGTCGAGGATACATAGGAGCCATTTGCTGTGAAAGTATGTCCATATACTGTGCTCCCAGAACTGGTTGAGGATGAAAACCAGCGAACCGATTTCCCTGAACAGCCTCGTTATTAATTGCTGACAAATGACCGGTTGTGATTGGCTGAATGTACGTACCCACCACCCGATCACTTCTCATATGTTGAGGTCCTTGAGGTTGGCCATGTGTTACACTAACTTGAGTAACCATTGACTGAGGATATTGAACACCCGCAACTGGGCTAGAGTCTGTCGCCTGTGCTTTCCAGAGTGATGGTGGTAGCAAGCCACTTCTCTGAGCACCATAGACAGGTGAAGAGGGCTGCTGTTGTAGAACCAATTGACCATTCCAGGTAGGACCTGTGCCTTGAGCATATGACTGTTCATATCGAGGTGATCCCGTGTTTGGTGCAGCTCCAGTCGCATGAAAATTCTGCTGCTGCTGAGTAGGCTGTCGTCTCTGGTCTGTAAAATTCCCATCAACAACCTTCGTTCTGGTCTTGATGGTGGCCACAGCTGCATTCACATCTTTGGGCACAACATCACCTCGGTACAGGAGGCAGCAAACCATGTACTTTCCATGGCGTGGGTCACATTTGGCCATCATGGAAAAGGGTTCAAAAGCACTGTTGGTGATCCCAGCCACTGATAGTTGCTCATGGTAAGCCTTCTCAGCTGAAATAACAGGTGCATAGGAGGAAAGCATAAAATGAATCTTGGGATAGGGAACCGGGTTAGTCTGGAACTCGGCCACATCCACATTCAGAGCTCCATCAAACCTCAAAGAGGTAGTAAGAGATGAGATAACCTGAGAGACAAGGCGGTTAAGATTGGTATAAGTGGGTCGTTCAATGTTCAGAGAACGCCTGCAGATGTCATATATGGCTTCATTATCGAGAAGCACAGTAACATCAGTGTGCTCAAGGAGCGAATGAGTGGACAGCGCAACGTTGTAAGGCTCTACAACAGATGTAAAAACCTGAGGTGAAGGATACACAGTGAAACCAAGCTTTGACTTCTTTCCATAGTCAACAGAGAGACGCTCCAAGAGAAGAGATCCAAGGCCAGAACCAGTACCACCACCAACAGCATTGAAAACCAAAACCCCTTGGAGTCCGGTACAGTTATCAGCGAGCTTTCGGATGCGATCCAAGCAGAGATCAACAATCTCTTTTCCAATCGTATAATGGCCACGGGCGAAATTGTTGGCAGCATCTTCTTTTCCACTGATGAGTTGCTCAGGGTGGAACAGCTGACGATACGTTCCAGTCCTAACTTCATCGATAACAGTAGGCTCCAGATCAACAAATATAGTGCGAGGAACGTGCTTTCCGGCACCAGTTTCGCTGAAAAAGGTGTTGAAAGCATCGTCTCCTCCACCAACAGTCTTATCACTTGGCATTTGGCCATCAGGCTGAATGCCATGCTCGAGACAATAAAGCTCCCAGCAAACATTGCCAACCTGAATACCGGCCTGACCGATATGAATCGAAATACACTCTCTCATTTCTCTTTTTTTTTTTTTTTGAGATTCAAGGAAACCCAAGAAAAAAATCCTCAGAAAATGAAACAACCATTTTTGTTTGAAAAAAAAGATTGTGGCGTGTATCCAGACGCCTGCCTTCTCCTATTCGGATTCTCCTTCTATCTTTTTCTCCTTTTTTTTTTTCGTCTCCTATTCGGACTCTTCTTCTATCTTTTCTCCCCCTATCTGGATTCCTCCTCTATCTTTTTTTTCTGTTTTATTTTTTTTTTTCTATTGCTGTGAATTGTAATGGCATATAAAACCAAGTGATTGTGTTTCAGTTTGATTCTCATTAGTCATCAAATGCTAAAGATTAACACCTAATTTTTTTATCATCATCAAACTTAATCTCAATCTTTCTTTTTTTTTTTTAAATAATCAGATAATCAAAAGAAAGAAAAAAAATCATAAAATAAAAAAATGATAAATATGAAATAAACAAAAATATAAAATAAAAATGAATAAAAATCCCTGCAACTGAGCTTGGATTAGTCTCAAATGACAAAGAATCCCGGACAAAATGGGGTGTCTACAACGGTAACTGTACAGAGTTACTATTCATAAGTTAGAATTTTTCTATTTAAAGCCTCATTGTAACTAAGCTCGAAGAGGTGAATTCTCCTTTTTTCTTTATTTCTCTCTTCACTCCATCTCTTCATTTTCTTTTTTCTCACCTTCTGTCCTTCACTTGTATACATATATAGATATAGCTTTTGTAATCCTTTATACATAGATCTTTTTTTTACCCCTTTTGTAAATGAAACCACATTTGATAAAACAGATAGTTCTGATGATCAACCAGATCCAGAACCAAGTGAAATTCATATCCCTTAAATAGAGGCACGTGGTAAGAAAAAAGCAGAAGCAATATCTAACCCAAATATTGATGATATACGATGATTTCTAAATTTATTAGATCCTGATATAGTGGATCAACATCTTCCTCATTTGAAAGAAAAATATTCTCACCTAAATCAGGATGAGATAAAGCAAACTTCTGATTTTGGCTAAACAGGTCAGGTTAAGATTGAAACCCCTATTATCGATTCGTTAAACAAACGAATGGTTTCTCAAGACGGTACTTATTTAGACTTAACTAAAGTCCCTCTTAAAAACTATGAAAAAATGATAATTGATTAGGCACAATCTATGTCTATTGTTGCCATAAGTTACAAGGAGCAATGGAACAAAGAAAGATTTTTCAACTATTTTTGTGGCACATGACAAGGTGATGTCCTCAATTTCTCAAAAAATGAGAAACTACAACCCTCAAAGCATAGCAGAAATCATCTCTATTAGCTGCAGGAAATATACCTCAACTTTTGAAAGAGTTAACCCAAATCTTGAAAATTGAGTTTTGTGGTAGTACAGAATTTTTGGATCCCACTCAAAAAGCTCAATTTATTTTATCTAAATTAAAATTATGTGATATTAAGTATTTAGATGATTTTCTAAAAAATATCTTTCTAAATATCAAAAATTGGATGAAAAATATTCAAACTTTTGGTTACAACAATATTTTCTCAAACTTCCCTCACCATGGGATGAATTATGTTCACAAAATTACCCCATTTACCTTGAGTTAAAACTCAAAATTGTTCATGTTGTAAATCCCAGCATAGAAATTTATGATACTCTTGGATGTAAAATACACTACGTTCAAAATCAGGTCAACGAATACTACTTCAAGCAAAAAGCTGCTAAGCAAGTAAAATCTAAACTTTCGTATAAACAATGTACAACGATTTTGTAAAATGAATTGGAATTTGGTTGTAATAAACAATCTTTTTCAAAGAAACATCGTTTTAAGAAAAAATGAAAATATTTTTGGAAAAAATGGAAACCCACAACTTTTAAACCTAAAAAAGGTAAATTTGTTGTTAAAAAGAAGAAAAAATCTTCTAAAAATAATTGTAAATGTTTTCTTTATGATCAAGAAGGTCACTATGCAAATACTTGTCTTAACAAAGGAAAAAGTGCGAAGAAAATGATCAAAAAACTTGATGAAACTTTTCTTCAAATTTGTTTTGCTAAAGAATTATTTGACGAAGAAATTTATTATGAAGTTTTTTCAGAAACAAATTATAGCTCTTCTGAAGATGAATCTAATTTTATTTTTATGTTAAATACTGAATCTAACTAAGATACTGTTTCAGTAACCTCTTTTACAGGTACAACCACTACCAACGAAGAAGGTATGGTTAAACTCAAAAATATTATGAGAAAAACTCATTTTATTTCTGATGAAAAACTAAAAGAATTACAACTCATCAAACCTAATGAGATCTACAAAACAAGTTAGTTTAAAAAATTCCAACCTTGATCTAAACGCCATATAGAAAAACTATCTGGTGACACAATCACTAATGATTCTCAACAAGTTAGCAGGATGAATTTGAGATCATGTAAGAGGATGGGTGTTAAGACTATACATGAGAGTTTAGGGTTTGAAATCGAGTTGATATGTTTTTGGGTAAGATGGCTATGGAGTTGACTGGTATAGGTATGGTGTTGTATTATTCACAGTAAGGTAGTATATGTAATAAGCTTATGGTGGATAAGGTTAGTAACCTCTGAACTGTTGTCTTTCAAAATTCACAGCTTGAGTTTCGATCTCTTTTTTTTTTTGGTGCTTTTTTAGTAGAAGTTTATCCTCCTTTTAACTTGCCATTCTTAATGGTATTCTTAATGATTTCACCAAAGATCACCATGTCGGTGAAATTTTTTATTACATTTTCTCTCATCTTTTCATAATATGAAGATTTTAAAAATGCTCACAAATAATACTATGGTCTCTTTCTTAATTAGAGGAAGTTAAACTTGAGTAGATATGACCTTCCACCTCTGAGCATACTCCTTAAATGATTTAGTTACTTTTTTTTTATATTCTGTAAATGTAAATGATTAGGAGCTAAATCTATGATATATCGATACTAACTAATAGAGTCGCAGGCCATACCACTTTAGAATTAAATGCGAGTCTTTTCTAGCTGGACATACTATCTAGTAGTAGAGTCAGTAAGGTTGTCTTGAAATACATTCATTAGTAGCTTTTCTTTATTAGTATGGGTACTATCTTTCAAAAGTACATGTTAATGTGGGTCTTTAGGTACTTTGTACCATCATATTTTTCAAACTTTGAAATCTTAAACTTTAAAGGAATAACGATATGTGGGACTAAACAGAGCTTAGCAGCATCCACAAAACCATAAAAACCAATACCGTCAATTACCCGTAACTTTTCCTTAATCATATTCATCTTTTTGTCAACTATTGAGTCCCTCAACAACTCGATCACTTTTAGCTTTAATTTTTCTTTTTCTTTTAGATCATCTAGATTAGGAATCTAGATTGGTTTTACTACCTTCTCGGTAAATCTTGGATTTGAAGCTGATGACATTTTGGGGTATGTATACCCTACAAGGTATGTAAACTGTTGTGGTGGTGCATCCTATGTGGACTAGGCTTGATGTGGATCAAAATTAAGAAAGTATAAAGGGTTAACCACCTATTGTGATAAATGGTCCTGCTGGCTAATATTTTTTTCTATATTATTCCCCTTGTTCAACTTATTCAAAGCCTCTAGAATCTTATTCAACTTTTCTTCAAAATTTTTTTTGAGCTCTCTCTATCTTTTTAAGGTGATTAAAATTTTCTTGTTCCATAGTCTGGCTCGAGCTTTTATATTGTATTGGTGAGTTGATTGTGTGGGGTTCTTACTTGGTAGAGCTATCTTTGATCATTGAGTACCAAAATCACATATTATTAGAAATGACATGCTTTATGTTTGGTATTTTAATGCATCAATGTAATGTATTTATATTTGCTACATAACTATCATTGATAAAAGAAATCTCAATTCAAAACTTTATTTAATTAAATTTTAAAACTACATCTTAACAAAGCTAAAGGAATATTCTAAAGTCCTAAACATCAATGCAATATTTCCTAAACGTCATTCTAATGCCTCTTTATGAATTTTCTAGCTTGTTGGTAATGATTTTATGCCATACCTAGGAAGTCAAGCAATCACTGCCTATGAACACCTACTGGTTGCCCCATGACCTTCAATTCTTCCACTTTTTCCTTCATTTTTTATGTCTACAACCATGCATAACTAATTGAACAAGTGTTTTAAATGTTTTTGCTTTTTTGTACACTTACCTTTCCATTACTCACTTTGTTCAACATGTTTCTTGCATTCACTAGTCAAAACTTTTACCTATGCTGTGTGCTGATCCATTATCCCTTGTAGCATCTGACTATGTTTGTGCACCTTGGTGTAGCTTTTTTACCTTTTTCCATCATTGTTTTCAATAATTTATTTTTTTTAAGAGTCAAGCAAGATTGGGTGTGACTGATGAATGTGTCTTATCTAGATCATGGAATAAGGCTTTCCATTGATTTTTTTGCTCACTAAGATTTTGGATTTTCTACTATCATTTCAATCATCCTATATGCTCATTTTTTGGTGAAGAACAATTCTCACTAGTTAAGTCCTATGTTTCTGGAATAAATTGCTCACATCTAAACTATCTTCTCATCAAAGTTAAGGCATAAGTAACAGCACCCTATAAGCCCAATAAAAAAACCCAAGGTTGATTCCCACAGCTATATAACACTGTATCATGATGTATCCAATGTGCTCAAATTATCTTTTGGCTATCAAATGCATGAAAAAATGAAACCCATTCTTTTTTTTACTTTGCTTTAGGCCATGTGCTGTAATAAAACTCTTTGATTGAAACACTATAATGAAGGTATGGTTTGTGAAACTTGTTTTCTTTACACTCAAAATGACTCTTCATCCATACATAAAGTATTTGTAAGCACCCAGTAAATTGACCTTTACCATTTTTGTGACAATAATTCTAAGATCGAATGGTTTCTAACAAAATGGTTAGTGTTGCATTGACTTCGTGCTCTAACTGATTGACAAAATCTATCATTACAACATCGATATATCCTATGACCTTTGAAAAGATTAAA